CAAGATATTTTATATTTATATTACGTATATAAATGTATAATGGGTTTATATTTTCTATATATAAAATATCTCAAGAAAGAGATGGAGTGTGTGTGTGTGTGTGTGTGTGTGTGTGTGTGTGTATCCTGTTGGTTCTGTTTATTTACAGAACCTTGACTGATACTCCCAGCAAAAGAAGAAATCATTGAAGAGAAAATGAGTCTATTTCACCATTTTGTCCAGGGGCAACTTTCTCATGAGAAGGATAGCTTTCATCAGTGGCCTGTTTGTCATCATTCGGTTTCTGATGCAAAACAGTTGTTTCTTTGCTTGGCAAAGCCTTATCTGACAACAGACACTTCTGATTAAGTGCACACAGTCAGGGGCCTGCAACAACACTTGCCAGCAAGCCCTGCTTTTTCTGTCGTCTCGGCGACAGAAGGACAGTTATAGCTCTCTTTCTCAGTGTCAGACAGAAGCCAGTCTGGAGCCACTCCCGGCTCAGTCTGGGTGTGGCTCTGATGAGAAGCCAGGCAGCTCAAAGGAGAGTGAGGAGGCTTGAGGGACAGTCATTCCTCAGCAAATACGTGCCCAAGGCAAAATCGACGGGTTTTGCCGCTTCCCGGTATGAGCTTTGCCTGAACTTGAGGGCCTTGCCAATTACCACGTTTCTCCGCAGCGCAAGGCAAAGTGAGAGGATCTGCTCAACGGGACCGTCAGCATCTGCAGGCAAGGTGGGCGCTGGATCTAACACTTGGACTGTGGCGATAATTAAGTAGGGCCTAGGGAAGAAGAGAAGGCTATTCCTGTTCAATCTGGGGAGAGAGAAGGTTCAGGAGACAAAGTCCTTTAAATGGAGTCACGACCTCTTTTCTAAAACCTAAGAAGCCAAAGCATTGCTTAGTTGTTTGCCTCTTTAGATCAAATACAAATACATTTTGTACGAGACACTTAAAACCATGATTCATTCAAATCGTTCGATTGTTCCCCTCATCCGTATTCACAATCACGATCCTCTGCCAGCTCCAGATGTTTCTAGGAGTGGCTTGCTCTAAAACTCACTTGACATCACTCCGTGGCATTCCTTTCACTGATGATTAACAGAGGACACAAGGCCTGACTCACAGCTTGGCCAGAGACTGCTCTGATTAAGGCAAGCTGCAAAGAATGGCAGCTTCTCTCCCTGATTGGGGCCAGCTTTGCGCGTTCACAGATCTCTAATAGGAGAAACGGCTTCCCTTACCTAGGATGGGGTTCTGAACCGTGTTGTTGGAGAAGGGGAGGGTCCCGAACTAAGAGCCAGATGGAATTGGGCTGGTAATGCAGAAGCAGAGACACACGCTGTGCAGCCGGTCTGTAAATTGGTACCAGGTCTGAGAGCACTGAATTACAAGATGTGGTGTTTGTCTTTTTTTTTTGAGGATGTGTGCTCCCTTGTGTAATAAGACAGTGCACGACTTCTTCCATTTTAATGTGCACGTAGATCACCTGGGGACCTTGTTAAAATGCAGATTCTGATTTGGTGAGTCTGGTAGGCCTGCGATTGTGAATTACTGACAAGTCCCTGATGACACCTAGGCAGCTAGTCCTTGGCCCACACTTCCAGTACAAGGTTATGAAACGAGCGTAGACTTGCAAATAGGCCCCACACCTGTCGTGTCACTTGAGTCCTGTCAGCTACGCAGAAATGGCCTGGTCCTTCTCTCCCGCGGTTTACAATCTAGTAGATCAGTGCCACAAGAGAAGCGGAGAGGACAGCGATGTTCACAGGAACAAATGGTCATTTCCGGCTGGGAGGGGAACTGCAAACACCGCACAGAGGACAAAGCTTTGAAGCAGGACCCAGGCAGAAATGCTGTAAGGGCCTGCCAGATGGATGGATCTCCACAAGCAAAGACACAGAGACTAGAAACCGAGACACCTGGGCAGGAAAGAGCATGCAATTTCATTTGACTGGAATGTAGACTCCTGTAAGCAGAAGCTAACGCAGACAAATAAGGTTGGTTGGGAAGTTTAGGATCAAATCACAGACGATCTTGACGTCATATCATACAAAAGCATTTGGACTTCATCCTGTAAGCAAGGGGGAAACTGATTATTCTTTTTTAGCTCAAATGTGACTCGAGTGGAGCTGTGCCTCAGATCCCAGGCGTGGAAACCACTCTAGGGGTGCTAGAAAGGATAGGTTGGAAGGAAAGAGCCTGGAGGAAGGGAGGCCAGGTAGGGGCTATTCAACCAGCCAGAAAGTATTTACTGAGTTGCTTGCTATTCTGTTCCAACCACTGTGCTAACAACTTGAGCAGGGAAAAAAACATCTATGTCCCATCCCTTTGTGGCACCCACAGTCTGAGGAGAGCCACAAAGAAGTCCAGGGGGTTAGGAGAGCATAAAACAGGGAGACATGAACACCAAGAGTGTCAGAAAAAATTGCCCTGAGTCGGTGGCATTTTGGTCCAGATCTGAAGAAATGGAGAGGACTCAGACGAAGAGGAAAGTGAAGGGGTGCTCCAGGCTGAGAGAAGGACCTCGACGAAGGCCCAGAGCCTAGAAAGCCTGGCATGCCTGAGATTGAGAAAAATAGAGCACAGCTGAAGTGGTGAGACCAAAGGGAAGAGACACATGACATAAAGCTTAGAAAGGTTGGCAGGGGTCACATTTGTGCAAGGCCTTTGTGGAGGAGGCAAGGAGTTCAAACTTTAAACCTTGCCCTAAGGGCAATGGGAAAGCATTAAGCACAGGAGTGCCTTGATGAGATATGTATATTAGAACAATTCTTCTGGGGTGCCCGGGTGGCTCAATCGGTTGAGCGTGCGACTTTGGCTCAGGTCATGATCTCGCGGTTCGTGAGTTTGAGCCCAGCGTCGGGCTCTCTGCCGTCAGCACAGAGCCTGCTTTGGATCCTCTGTCCACCTCTCCCTCTGATTCTTCCCCGCTTGCTCTCTCTCTCAAAAACAAATAAACATTTAAAAAAAGAAAGGAGGGGCGCCTGGGTGGCTCAGTCGGTTGAGCGTCCGACTTCGGCTCGGGTCAGGATCTCACGGTTTGTGAGTTCAAGCCCAGTGTCGGGGTCTGTGCTGACAGCTCAGAGCCTGGAGCCTGCTTCAGATTCTGTGTCTCCTCCTCTCTCTGCCCCTCCCATGCTCATGCTCTGTCTCTCTCTGTGTCTCAATAATAAATAAACGTTAAGAAAAAAAATTAAAAAAAAAAAAAAAACAACTCTTCCCTGTCTTTGATCTGTGGAGGATGGATGGCGGCAGGGAGCAACATTCCATGCAAGGAAGCCTGTTATGGGAATGATTGAGTAGACCAGACGAGAGGTGATAGAGCCCTGGTCTGAGTGGAAGAGAGGGTGGAGAGAGGTAGGTGGACAGAAGTGATAACTGGGGTAAAAGCAAGAATTGGAGAAGATGAGGAAAGACAAAGAAGTGTGAAGAGTGGATAGTGGTACCTGCCACCGATGCAAAAAACATAGAAGAAGTTGGTTTGGAAGGGAGTGAGGAAGAGAAGTTCAGGAGAAGGTCCTGTGGGACATTCAGGGGGAGATAATAGGCAGACTGACACAGCACTAGATTTTGAGAGAGGTCTGAGCCAGGGATGGGAATTTAGGAGTAATCGGGATAAAGAAGTATCATGGCTGATTCCAGCGCATTCTTCCCGGCCTCCCTATCAAGCCTCCCATCTGGCCACAAAAATCCATCAGGGACAGACATTGCAATGGAGGCATTAATACAGCAGCCCAGGATCTCTCATGACAAAAGGAGAACAGAGTTTGGAGGCGAATCACAAAGAGAGATTTTGAGAATGTCAGAAATGATGGCATCTTTAGGGTTGGTATGCAGCCTGTCAAATTGAGGAACAGCTCTCATTTCATACGGAAAGTCTGATAGATCAGTTACAAAAAGAGGATTCAAGACTTGGCAGGCAAATTTTACATCAGACACCTTCTTGAGTCTTTGGTCAGCTCTCCCTGCTCAGATACCCAACATGTTCTTGACAGGTATATGCTCAGAGTGTGAACGCTAATTCTAGTATTAGCCTTAGCACAATCATAGTTAGGAACACCTGCTGCTGCTGGAAAAATCTATCATACAGTCCCAAAACAAATATAAATGACCTTTTCTCCTATGTTTTAGATTATTTACACCACCTTGCCCTTTCAGTAGCCTGGATGGATAACTGAGTTGGCTAGATTTATAACATAAGGATGTGCGTTGTAAATAAAACAATATAAGGTGGGTTGCTTTATACAAGTGGTCTTCTTGGATGATATGCTCAGCAGCTACATCCAAAATGTACTTTAAAATTATTATGACAGCAAATTAACATTTTCACAGGACCTGTTCAGGTGGAAATGTTAACAAAATGAAAATAAGTAAATAAAGCCAGAGGCAATATGTCTTCTAAGTCTGAAGCAGAGTGATGCAGGGGAGAGGGGATGTGCCCTGAACTCGATCTGATGCAAACCTCAGGATGATATCATGCATTCATATGGGAGATTTTTTTGAGCGAAACCAGGACTTGTAAGGGTATGTGGTGGTGGGTGGGGGGATATGGTTCCCTTGAAAGGCAATACTCTTGAACAATTATTAACCTCTGGACAGGCAAGCATGTAGAGGGAGGAGACCACCTATCTGAGTTACTGATTATGAGTCAGCCAGAGAGGTTTCCCCACCTACCCATTGATACCAGAATTGCCAAGATCTGGGACTGAAGTCTTTCTTACACAATTCAAGAGAAGACCTGGAATAATACTTTCTGGGATGGTATCTGTGTGAGGCTTGGCTCACACAGAAGTGTGGATGATACAGGAACAAAGTCTTTTTCACAGAGATTTGAACAGGTTTCCAACAAGGAAATCTAGCCTTGTGTGCTCAGGGATGGTCAGATATCAGATCTCCATGACCCTACCTCATAGTATGGGCTATGGGGCAATCAGGAAGGAGAGTATTTCTACTATCTATTGTCACCTAACAAACTACTCCAAAATTTAATGACTAAAACATCAATCTGTTTTCTCTCACTGTTCTGTGGATTAGCTGGCTCCACTGGGAAGTTCTTCTGCTGGTCTTACTCAGGGTCTCTCATGCAGTTAGAGTCAGATGGCAACTGGAGTCATCTAGACGCTCGACTGGGTCTCTGCGATGACTATCCCTCTCTTCCTGTACATAAAATCTCAGAGACTCTCCTCTCCACATGATGTGTCCAGCAGGGGAGCCAAACTTCTCATTTGGACTCCCCAAAATGAGTGTTCTAAGAGAGAGAGAGAGACAGAGAGAGAGAGAGAGAGAGAGAGAGAGAGAGAGTAAAAACTACCATTGCTCTTAAAGAATATGCCTAGAACCAGCAAAACTTCACTTATGCTGCATTCTATTGATATTGCTAATCATGGGCCAAATATTAATTTGATTCTTTATGGATCCTAATGACTGGATTGAATTTTTCTTTTCATATATTTTCCCATCTCTTCCTTTATTTTTTGAACATATAGTTATTAGAAATTCCTTGTATCCTATTCTTTATATATCTGGACCACCTGTGGGTTTGTATCTATTGTCTGGTTTTTGGTTTTGTTTTTTAGGTTTTAAGTCATATGCCCTTGTCTCTTTATAATTCCTAGAAAATTTTGAATGAATGTCAACCAATTGAGTATAAATAAATATATAGACTCTAGATGATGTTATCTTCCCTCAGAGAGAATTTACTCTTTTCTCTGTTAAGTAGATCAAGTAAGGGCAGACCACTTTTACTGAATCAGTGACTAAGTTGAATCAAGGCCAGGTTCAATGTTGGTAAAGCCCTTCTACTTCTCTTTTGCCCCTGCTTCTAAAGCATTACTGTGCAGAACTTTCAGCTGATAATCTTGTGTGTTCAATGAAGCCCTTACCATTGGCAGATCTTGAACTCTAATTCTTATCTACTCAGCACAGTGAGACTGCCCAAAACACCACTTTGTTTTTTGGGGTTTTTTTTGAGACTTTATACTTACCTTCTTAATCACTAGATTAAAGGATGACTCAATATATGCAAATCAGCAATACACCATAATAACAGAATGAAACTTAAAAATTGTATGATCATCTCAATAGTTGCAAAAATTCATCACCCTTTCATGATAAAAAAAAAAAACTCTCAACAAACTAGGCATACAAGAAATTTACCTTAACATAATAAACACCATATACGACAAGCCCACAGCAAACATCATACTCAGTGGTAAAAAACTGAAAGCTTTTATCTAAGATGAAAACAAGGAAAGGACACCAACTCTTGCCACTTCTGTTCAACATGGTACTGGAAGTCCTGGCCAGAGCAATTAAACAAGAAAAAGAAATAAAAGACATCTAAATCAGAAAGAAAGAAATGAAACTATCTCTGTTTTTAGATGCCATGTTCTTATGTATATAAAACTCTAAAAACTCCACCAAAAAAAAACCCCACTTAGAACTAAGAAATGATTTCAGTAAAGTTGCAAGGTACAAAGTCAGTATATGAAAATAAGTTGCATTTGTATACACTAACAAGGAACGATCCAAAAAAGAAATTAAGGGGCACCTGGATGGCTTAGTCAGTAGAGCATGCAGCTCTTGATCTCAGGGTCATGAGTTCAAGCCTCACATTGGGCATGGAGCCTACTTTTAAAAAGAAGGAAATTAAAAAAGCAATCCCGCTTATGGTAGCATCAGAAGGAATAAAATACTTAGGAATAAGCTTAACCAAGGAAGTGAAAAACATATACACTGGAAAGTACAAAAAAAAATTATGAAAGAAATTTAAAAAGGCACAAATAAATGGAAAGACATCCCATGTTCATGGATCACATGACTTAAAGTATTTAAATGTCCAAACTGTCCAAACTGATTACAGATTCAATGCAATTCCTATGAAAATCCTAATGACATTTTTTACAGAAATAAAGAAAAAATCCTACTATTCATATGGAAACACAAAAGACCCTGAATAGCCAAAGCAATCTTGAGCAAGAATAAAGCTAGGGTTATCACACTTCCTAATTTTTTTAATATGAAAATTATTGTCAAATTGGTTTCCATACAACACCCAGTGCTCATCTCAACAGGTGCCCTCCTCAATGCCCATCACCCATTTTCCCCTCCCTCCCACCGCCCATCAACCCTCAGTTTATTCTCAGTTTTTAAGAGTCTCTTATGGTTTGGCTCCCTCCCTCTCTAACCTCTTTTTTTTCTTCCCCTCCCCTTCCCCATGGTCTTCTGTTAAGTTTCTCAGGATCCACATAGGAGTGAAACATATGGTATCTGTCTTCCTCTGTATGACTTATTTCACTTAGCATCACACTCTCCAGTTCCATCCACATTGCTATAAAAGGCCAGATTTCATTCTTTCTCATTGCCAAGTAGTATTCCATTGTGTATATAAACCACAATTTCTTTATCCATTCATCAGTTGATGGACATTTAGGCTCTTTCCATAATTTGGCTATTGTTGAGAGTGCTGCTATAAACATTGGCGTACAAGTGCCCCTACGCATCAGCACTCCTGGATCCCTTGGGTAAATTCCTAGCAGTGCTACTGCCGCGTCATAGGGTAGATCTATTTTTAATTTTCTGAGGAACCTCCACACTCTTTTCCAGAGTGGCTGCACCAGTTTGCTTTCCCACCAACAGTGCAAGAGGGTTCCCGTTTCTCCACATCCTCTCCAGCATCTATAGTCTCCTGATTTGTTCATTTTAGCCACTCTGACTGGCATGAGGTGGTATCTCAGTGTGGTTTTGATTTGTATTTCCCTGATGAGGAGTGACATTGAGCATCTTTTCACGTGCCTGTTGGCCATCTGGATGTCTTCTTTAGAGAAGTGTCTATTCGTGTTTTCTGCCCATTTCTTCACTGGATTATTTGTTTTTTGGGTGTGGAGTTTGGTGAGTTCTTTATAGATTTTGAATGCTAGCCTTTTGTCTGACATGTCATTTGCAAATATCTTTTCCCATTCCGTCGGTTGCCTTTTAGTTTTGTTGATGGTTTCCTTTGCAGTGCAGAAGCTTTTTATCTTGATGAGGTCCCAATAGTTCATTTTTGCTTTTAATTCCCTTGCCTTTGGAGATGTGTCAAGTAAGAAATTGCTGCGGCTGAGGTCAAAGAGGTTTTTTTCCTGCTTTCTCCTCTAGGGTTTTGATGGTTTCCTGTCTCACATTCAGGTCCTTTATCCATTTTGAGTTTATTTTTGTGAATGGTGTAAGAAAGTGGTCTCGTTTAGTTCTTCATGTTGCTGTCCAGTTTTCCCAGCACCATTTGTTAAAGAGACTGTCTTTTTTCCATTGGATATTCTTTCCTGCTTTGTCAAAGATTAGTTGGCCATACTTTTGTGGGTCCAATTCTGGAGTCTCTATTCTATTCCATTGGTCTCTGTGTCTGTTTTTGTGCCAATACCATGCTGTCTTGATGATGACAGCTTTGTAGTAGAGGCTAAAGTCTGGGATTGTAATACCTCCTGCTTTGGTCTTCTTCTTTAATATTACTTTGGCTATTTGGGGTCTTTTGTGGTTCCATACAAATTTTAGGATTGCTTGTTCTAGCTTCGAGAAGAATGTTGGTGCAATTTTGATTGGAATTGCATTGAATGTGTAGATAGCTTTGGGTAGTATTGACATTTTAACAATATTTATTCTTCCAGTCCATGAGCATGGAATGTTTTTCCCTTTCTTTGTATCTTGTTCAATTTCCTTCATAAGCTTTCTATAGTTCTCAGCATACAGATCTTTTACAGCTTTGGTTAGGTTTATTCCTAGGTATTTTATGATTCTTGGTGCAGTTGTGAAGGGATCAGTTTCTAATTTCAAAACATATTACCGGGGTGCCTGGGTAGCTCAGTTGGTTAAGCATCTGACTCTTGATATCAGCTCAGGTCTTGGTCTCAGGGTCATGAATTCAAGCCCTGTGTTGGTCTCCACCCTGGGTATGAAGCCTACTTAAAAAAAACCATATTACCTATATGTATGCAGTCAATTGATCTTCAACAACTGTGCCAAGAATACACAATGGGGAAAGGAGAGTCTCTTCAATAAATGGTTTTGGGAAAATAGGATATTCACATGCAAAAGAATGAAATTGGACGCTTACATCAGACATAACAATAAACTCAAAATGGATTAAAAATTTAAACATAAGACCTGTAAATCTAAAACTCCTAGAAGATAACATAGAGGAAAAACTTCTTGACATTGGTCTTGGCAATGATTTCTCAGATATGACAGCAAACGCATAAGCAGCAAAAGCAAAAATAGACAAGTAGGACAACATCAACCAAAAAGCTTCTGCACAGCAAAGGAAACAGTCAACACAGTGAAAAGGCAACCTACAGAATAGGAGAAAATGTTTGCAAGCCATATATCCGATAAGGAGATAATATCCCAAATATACAAGAAACTGCTACAACTAATTACCAAAAGAAAACAAAACCAAAAAGAAATAACCTGATTTTAAATGGGCAAAGGACCTGAATAGATATTTCTTGAATAAGACATGCAAATGACCAACAGGTATATGAAAAGATGCTCAACATCACTCATCATCAGGGAAATGCTAACCAAAGTCTCAATGAGATATCCCCTCACACCTATTAAAATAGCTATTCTAGGGGCACCTGGGTGGCTCAGTTCGTTAAGCGTCCGACTTCAGCTCAGGTCATGATCTCACAGTCTGTGGGTTTGAGCCCCGCGTTGGGCTCTGTGCTGACAGCTCAGAGCCTGGAGCCTGCTTCGGATTCTGTGTCTCCCTCTCTCTCTGCCCCTTCCCCGCTCATGCTCTGTCTCTCTCTGTCTCAAAAATAAATAAAAACATTTTTAAAAATTTTTTAAAAATTATTTTAAAAAAATAAATAAATAAAATAGCTATTCTAAAAGAGAGATTAAAATGTTGGTGAGAATGTAGAAAAACTGGAGCCCTTGTACACTATTGGTGGGAATGTAAATTGATGCAGCTGCTATGGAAGACTGTATACAGGTTCCTCAGAAAAACTAAAAACAAACTACCATATGACCCAGCAATCTCACTTTTTGGCATTTATCCAAAAGAATTGAAATCAAGACCTTGAAGGGATATCCGCACCCCATGTTTATCACGGTGTTATTCACAATGGCCACAATTTGGAAACACCTAAATATCTATCAATAGATGGATGGATAGAGAAAATATGGTATATACATACAATGGAATATTATTCAGCCTTAAATAAAGAAGTAAATCCTGACCTACGATACTAAATCCATTTCTGTTTTCACTGGGGTCTTGGTCCCTCAAATCTGCCCCTAATAACCACAAAGGCTATTTTTCCTGTGTCCTCCAGTAGGGGCCCTCTGTCTAGCCAAAGCCCAGATTCTCAGTCTCTTACTATGCACCCAGAATTTGCAAATGTCCCCTAGGAAAAAATAACTCTCCTTTGGTGATTCAACCTTCTTAAAATCTTGGCTTCTCTGATGATGATTGCTTTTGCAACTTCCAATGCTTACACACATATATACCCAGGGTTTTTGGTTGTTCTTTGTTAGACTGAAAGCAGGAGCTCACTGAGAGATTTAACCAGAAAACTAACATGACCAACTTTGCATTTAATAAAGGTCACTCTGAAGGCAGTGTGCATGATGGTGTATTAATTTGATAGGACTTTCATAACAAAGTATCACTGACTGGGTGGCAGAAACAACAAAAATTAATTTTCTCACAGTTCTGGAGGATAGAAGTCCAAGATCAAGTTGTGGTTTCTTCTGCAGCCTCTCTCCTTGGTTTGTTGATGGCCATCTTCTCCCTGTGCCTTCACATTGTCTTCCCTCTGTGCCTACCTGTGTCCAAATTTCCTCTTCTGAGAAGGACACCAGTTAAATTGTGTTAGGGCCCACCTTAATGACCTTTTTTTAACTTAATTACCTCTTTAAAGAACCTGTATCCAAATACAGTCACATTCTGAGCTATGGGGATTTAGGACCTCAACATATGAACTTTCTTTGGTGAGGAGTATTCAACTCAATGCATAACAGATGGATTTTAGGGCAGCAAAAGTGGAATTGGGGGCTAATGAGAAAGCTATTGCAGTAATCTGAGAAAGAGAGAGAGAGAGAGATAGGTTGGACTAAGTAATGGCAGAAGGGCAGGAGATAATTGGATTGCTTTGAGAGAACATCAGAAGATAGAACAGATAGAATTTGGTAATTATGAATAGAGAAGAGTCAAGGATGATACCCAATTTTCTAATTTGAGTATGGAGTAGAGGATGTAGACATAACATGGATCGGGCAGAGATGCGGGCATAACCTCCATTCTCTCTTGAATTTCATGATAAAGCTTAAACCCTGAGATACTGCTCCTTGACTGACCTTCCCTCTGTCCTTATGTGAACACCATAGCTCATAATACTCTGCATCTGTTCTGGTCTCCATCCTGACTCCTTATTCCTTGAATTCCCAGAATGCTCAGACCTGTCACACCACTTTGGGGCTAGAGAGCTAGACTCAGTAGCTTTGCTTTGCTCCCCATGGACAGGTAGTTGCCAGCTTCTTGGACTTCTTTATTCCATGGCACCAGTCTGCTACTGGGCTCCTCTATTCCAAGGACTCCTGTATAGGGCCGGGTTTCCCCTTTTTCTTAGACCTTTTGGTGGTGATCACTTGCCTGAACATGTACCTGTCTTTGCTTTACACCTCATTTCAATGGACTGATGGCAGCTGGAGTAGCTGCCTCTGTCTAGTTGTGAGTGTATTGCAATGCCTTGTTATCGACTCCCAGCAGTTGGTATGCCAACCTCAGAGAATGACAGCACTGACCTGAACTAGTCTAGAAATATTCAGTTCCCCTTTCTCAGATTTCTGTGTCGATATAGAGAAGATGCCCTTCGCAAAGAACATGAGATAGGGAGACTAACCTAACATCTCAAGTCAGGCAAGTGGAACTGAGTAAAGAGGCCAGAGTGACACAGCTTAGAGACAGAAGTGACTCTACCAGGGACATTCTGATCAGGATTGTATCTCTGTATCCCATTCTGCTAAATTTTATTGGTAGCCAGTCCAGAATACATAAACATACTTTTGGCTTGCCCTTTACCCAAATTGGCAACTTTCAGACACTGTTCCTCCTTCATTGGCTTTGTCTCAGACCCTCCCTAGCCTAGCAGCAACCCACTTCCCCTCTAAAACTGCCTTTCCTCTACATGGGAAATCAAATTAGCATGTTTTAGAAACTGCCACTTTCCTATCGCTGCCCATTCTCTTGTTTTATTTCAACATAAATCCCTGAAACATTTTTTCAAGATTTTATTTTTAAGGAATTTCTACACCCAACATGGACCTTGAACTTATGCCATGATCAAGAGTCACGTGCTTCACCAACTGAGCCAGTCAGGTGCCCCTTTATTTATTTATTTTTTAAGTAGAGGAGTGATTTCCATTGTTATTTTTATTTTTTATTTTTATTTATATTCAAGTTAGTTAAGATATAGAGTAGTCTTAGCTTCAGGAGTAGAACCCAGTGATTCATGTGTTACATATGACATCCAGTGCTCATCCCGAAAACCGCCCTCCTTAATACCTGTCACCCATTTAACCCACACCCACTATATATATATATATAATATATATATATAAACCCAGCCATAAAAAAGAATGAAATATTGCCATTTGCAACACATGGATGGATATAATGCTAAGTGAAATAAGTCAGTCAGAGAAAGACAAATACCATATGATTTCACTCATAATGTGGAATTTAAGAAATTAAACAAAGAAACAAAGAAAAAACAGAAAAACAAAACAATAAAACAGACTCTTAAATATAGAGAACAAATCCGTGGTTACCTGAGGGGATGGGTAAAAGAGATGAAGGGGATCAAGAGTGCACCTGATGGGTGCTCATGATGAGCACTGAGTAATGTATAGAATTATTGAATCACTATATTGTATACCTGAAAGTAATGTAATGCTGGATGTTAATTATACTTGAATTTAAAAAACAAAGAAAATGGCTTACCCTGTACTTTTTCTTCCTCTCTTCCTAGGAGCTAAAACACAGTCATAGTGGGTGATGAACCGATCTTGACTATGCAGAGAAGGAAAATATCCTAGGGGATGATAGAACCACAAGATACAAAGACTTGAGTTCTCTGCTGCTAACTCTTTAAGTACTAGGAGCAAGTCCCTTTCCTTACCCGGGCCTCAGTTTCCTCCTCTGTGAAGTGAGGGTGATTTCAGGGACTGTGCTAACCCAAAACTTCTATGTGTCTTTGAAGGCAGCCATAGGCTGTATGTCAGTGCCCGAAGTTCTCTGTAAAGATTTGCTCTCTCCTATCTCCTCTGTTACAAGGCAAAGCATGCAGGGAACGTCCCATTAAATCTCAAATACCTCAATGTGAATGTGTTTATGGCAATCCCATTGTTTTTCTTAGATGGACTGAAGAGATAATTTGGGACCCACAGCCTCCTAGAGCAGTCACGAAGTGAAACACGGAGAAAGGGGAGCCATTAGGAGAAGGAAGGAATGCGGTGTGGGCATCCCCATTGCTCACGCACCATCCATCTCTCAGCAAGCCTGCCTGAGGAAATGTAAACTAGCTGGGCGAAGGTTAACCCACCCAGATTCCCCGAACTGGGCCAAAAGGCGGGGGGGGGGGGGGTGTTGGCATTCCCAGAGGCTGCGGCTCCAAGAACATTGGAGCTAAGTTCCCATCACTGATGTCTTCCACCTCCTGAGCGTGGCCCCTCCTAATATTCCCACAGCGGGGCACCTCCTCAGGCTCTAGGCTTGGGGTGGCCGGTTTTCTTGAGCGAGCTATTGGGACATTGCTCAGGATGGCATCCAACTTGCTAGGTGTCTGGTTGGAGGCAATGAGAGAAGCCCTGACAGGGCAGACCATGCACATGGTTTGTGGTTCCCTGTCAGTCCGAGAAGACTGAGAAACTTCCTCTTAAGACTGCCGTCTTGAGAAATAAATGGCGAATGGTTTGGAAGATGGCGGCGTAGGAGGACGCTGGGCTCACCGCGCGTCCTGCTGATCACTTAGATTCCACCTACACCTGCCTAAATAACCCAGAAAACCGCCAGAGGATTAGCAGAACGGAGTCGCCGGAGCCAAGCGCAGACGAGAGGCCCACGGAAGAGGGTAGGAAGGGCGGCGAGGCGGTGCGCGCTCCCCGGACTGGCGGGAGGGAGCCGGGGCGGAGGGGCGGCTCGCCGGCCAAGCAGAGCCCCCGAGTCTGGCTTGCAAAAAGCGGAGGGGCCTGACGGACTGTGTTCCGACAGCAAGCGCGACTTAGCGGCTGGGAGGTCATAAGTTAACAGCTCTGCTCAGAAAGCGGGAAGGCTGGAGGACAAAGGGAAGGAGAGCTGCTGAGCCCCCGGACGACAGAGCTCAGTTTGGTGGGGAACAAAGGCGCTCGCCAGCGCCATCTCCCCCGCCCATCCCCCAGCCAAAATCCCAAAGAGAACCAGTTCCTGCCAGGGAACTTGCTCGCTCCGCGCAAACACCCAACTCTGCGCTTCTGCGGAGCCAAACCTCCGGCAGCGGATCTGACTCCCT